CCCCAAAACCCCAAAACCCCAAAACCCCAAAACCCCAGTCATGACAGAGGAGGTTGAAGCAAAATAATTTAAAAATAAAATGGAAGAAACTCAAACTCAAAGAATTACCGAAGTTAGGAAGTAAGCTTTCATGTAAGCCAACTAAGAAGTGGCAGAGTTTTAAATGTTTGATAAAGGAGATATTAAATGTATCACGTATTGTTCATTCCTAAATACATGTGCTTGTTTTAGTGTTGGAGTGGTTCAAATGGTATGACAAGAGATATTGGATTTTATGGCTGAACATTTTAGCAAAGAAATTAATTATTCAAGCATTTAATGGTTTATAAAATTTGGATTCAAAACTATAATATCAAACCTTTAAATTTATCTTCAGAACACATATCATAAGCTTTAGATATCCTTAGCAATAAGATAGTGTTGAAAATTAAAAATCTTCGCACCAAGGCTCTTGGATTATCATTAAACCTTATTCCCCTGCTAAAATTCATCCGGACGACTCAGATTGTTTAATCAAAAACATATTTTCATTTATTCTTCCTTTGTGATTTCTGAAATTGATCCATAAATATTTGTCCATCACCAGTCGGTAAATTAATTTAGCCAAGAGAAGCTCATTCATTCGATCAGCAAGGAACTAGACTCCACCTGATGGACTGACTTTTACTTTGCTGTTTACTCTACTGAGTCGAACCAGCCGACATCATATTCTCTGTATGGGGATGACTCTGAGGAAGAAGAATCCAATATTTGCTGGGACAAATATAAAAATGGCAAGGTTGCACAAAAATGCAGATATCTCAAATTATTTGATATCGAACATTTTAATATGAATAATATTGAAAAGCTGATTAAACTCTTTCATACTTTTCTGAACTCTTCATTCCCAGATAGTGTTCACAATCTCAATGTTTCTTGCAGAGACTTCAAAAAGTTGAATAAGTTCGATTTTTTTAAATCTGTCATAAAATTAAGCTCGAAAATCTGAAATAGTGCTTGCTTTTATCAATTTTCATTTGGTGAGTCCCAATTCAAAAGACTGATTGCAGCATACAGACATGTGTACAATTTGACTTTCCGGAAGTGCAATCTCTCTATTCCGAATCCTCTAGATTTATCTACAGCCCTTAAAGACACTAAAATCGAAAGGCTAAATTTTTATATGTCTGGGTCATTTATCTGAAGTAATTGGAAAGCTAGTCCCAATGATTTCAAACACTTAGTACACGGTCTCGGTACTTCTGAAGACCTGGCCCAAACTCTCAGAGAAATTGACTTCAGAAACTGTGGACTTGAGAGAGGACAAGTCAAAGAATTGCTAACTCAGAATGGCTTAGGAGGAAAAACCTTCCTTGTTTAAATAAAAATATTCGCCTTCAACCTTAAACTAGAGAGTCGGGGTTTTGGGGTTTTGGGGTTTTGGGG